TCCTTTCAGTTTCAGTCCCAAACTTTTCCCCCCGCATAACAAACGTTAATTGAAAGCTCTTCAAAAAAATTTTTTTTTTTTTGTTAAATAATTATTTGCAGCCTTTCATTGAAGATCAGTGGTATCATAAATCATATTTGAGGCTCTTATTTGTCTCTCCTGGCCAGCTAAGATCGATCTATCTCCTTCACACTTGGACACAACTTGGTCTTTCAACTTCCACACCATCCCTTTCCCTCCTACGAAAAAAACAAAAATGCAGCTGTCGCGAGCTTTATATATTATAACTTTAGGGCTTTGTAATGCAATTGAGTGGGATTTTTTTTTCTCTGCTAATTAATAAACCTTCAGCTTCAAAAAAGTATCATGTTCCTCTTCTTTCAATTCTGTCAATTTATTCTGTTTTGACATGTTCTTCGATTGATTCCACTACAGCCAATGGGAAATCCAGTTGTGTATTTCCCAGCAATTCCCCAACCTTGGGTCTCCCTTTCAAGAACAAAAAACAACAGACAGCCTATCGATGTTGTTGATTTGTTGACAATGTCATTAAATTAATAATGTAAAAAAAACATGTAAATTGTAATCACTATGTAATCCTGAATTAGTCTCGATATATGTTTTGGACGGGTATTATTTGATCTGTGAGCAATGAGAAACGGTTTGATATGTCGATCTTTATAATGTTGTATCGTCCTGTCCTGTTTTACCTTGGTATTTCAAGTTGTAACTCGAAACACCTTATTATTTAAATTATAAATACACAGTATCTATCGTTAAGTGTGATTACCTTACTCCATTGTAATTCCTATGCGAAAGCCGAAAAAGGTATTTATAGCCGCGTGCTTGTGGCTTTAACCTAGCAGATTGGTAAAACAATCACAATATGTTTTCAGCCAACCACCTATGTACCGTACGTACGTAATAGATTGCACTTGATTGAATTCGTGTAACCTCTTTCCATTAGGTGAGGTCATGTGTTCGAATCGCCTCAATGACGTATTGACGTTTCTTGTCTCGTATGTGGAGTATACGATATGTGATGAATGAATGAATGAATGATGTAGAATGCGTCAAAGAAGGAGATGTTTCCACCATGGCATTCTCAGCTTAACAATCATCACAGAATTTTGTCTACCATTCCACAATTCGTTACTGGTCACACAATTACTAATAAATTCAAAGGGTTTTGCATTGCCTTGCCTCCCAAACCAAAAATCTGGGGCAAAGTACTATTCTATTCTTCTTCTTCTTCTTCTTCTTCTTCTTCTTCTTCTTCTTCTTCTTCTACCCCATCTCACACGTCACTATAAACCCTAAAAACCAAAGACGTCCAAAACTTGACCCCTCAGAAACGAGCAATTGTGGCTAGTATCTCAATCCCCGTCCGAATTTACCATTCTAGCCTCTACATATGTTTATTAAACCGACATAAACCGATTGTTCCCTGATCATATCATACCACTTACTGAACCGACGCAACGATAGAAATCGATCTAACGACGGATTCTAGCCCCCCTTCCTCTTCCTTTCCCCTCTTCTTCTCCTCTCCTCTACAAAGCAAATCAAAGAACGGAGAATGGCCAGACTGCACTCTGCAGCTGGGCTCCACAAAAAAAATCCGGACTGAGGAGATGGCGATGGATCGCGACACGCGAGCCCATAGCTCACCGTTAAGAAAAAAATCGAGCTGATGGGCTCCACGCAGCACGGCCTGTGGGCCCAGTGGAGATGAGTCCAACCACCACCAATGCCCCCGAGCCCAGCCGTGAACCGTCCACAACAAATCTCGCAACGTGCAGCTAATAAATCCGACGTTTACACTACAGAGGAGAATCTTCTTCTATTATTTCATTATTATTTGTGTGGATTGGAATGGAGCTCAACTTGATTCTCTTCTCCTGGTTCACTTGAACCAACAAATTAGTTCATTGTCACATAGCACGATGGCTTTGACTTGTGCACAACCTATCCTGCACAGCGTTGAATTGCTACGAGTTACAACGATAATCCGACCAAGTAAATGATGCGGGGGTTTACGTTGTTTCGCTAATAGGATATTGCTGGACAGGCGATGTCCGTTTGATTTTGAATTCTCCGTCTTTTCTTACTCCATTTTTTAACTTCTCAAATTATGGGTTTGGTTTTTGTTTATTCAAACCAAATCAAACCAAAAACGATAAGGACCTTATTGATTATTGGTTGGTTTTTTTACTTTGGGTGCTCTGTATCCCGCGCCGATTTCAGTTTCCGACGACCCAGCCGCCAGGGAAAAAAAACGCCTGTGGTTTTGTTTGCTCTGAAAACGACAATATAAACTTCACGGCCTACGCGCCGTCAGTTGAAGCGGAGCGTTAGGATCTGCCGGCCGACCGGCCGGGGGAAACGTTCCTCTCCATGGTCACGTGACCATGTTCTGAATCAGTATTTTATGTACTATTATACGTCGAAGAGGCCCAATTCAATAATGCAAGGTTACTGTGTTAGTGAGAAAATATTAAGAAGCAGAAATAATAACTCCAGAAATGGTATAATAACATTAAATAGATTTTTTTTTGTCTAATTATAGAAACGAAAAAGCCCGGTTTTGGTGTGCCAAACGCGGCACTGACAGACTGAAAACGGAGGCGAAATGTACGCACGTGAATCACACGGACTATTTCTCATCCGTCCAGATCGAAGAGCAGAGACGAATCAACGGCTCCGATTCATCCCTTCCGCTCCCTCCGGGCTATAAATATCAAACCTTCCTTTCTTCTTCATTTCCCCTGCACCAGCAAAAAAGTTTGCAGCAAAACAGAGCGAAGAAAAAACTCGAGCTTTCCATCGTGAGAAATTCATATTAAAAAAAAAAAAAACAGAAACATAAAAAAATGCTTCTTCGTAGCGCTTCTACTCCGATACTGAACTCCTGGATCCCACACTCCAAAGATCCGCAGCCACCGCCGGTGGAGCCCGAGTTCTTCCCCCGGCATTCACTCGCGAAAACCCGATCCGTTTCGCTCACCGCCTCGCCTCCGACTCTCATCCCTTCTCCTTCTTCCTCGTCTCCCCACGGGATGACGAGAGCGCTCTCGGAGACGGATCTGAGGCAGCTTTCGCCGGCGGTGCCGAGGAGGAAGCCGGTGAACACGGCCTTTGTCGAGGAAGAGGAGGAGACGGAAGAATTGGGCGGTGGGTTCTTCCTGGGATCAGATGGGTTGGGAGAGGATTGTGCTGCGGATGGTGGGTTGGCCACGCTTTTGGTCGGCGGCGGCGGGAGGATTGGCGGCGGAGGCGGCGGTGGAAGCTCCAACGGTGGCGGGAGAGATGGGAATTCGGAGTTCTGGGATTCGAATTACAAGACGGAGGTGTATTACGAGACGATGATCGATGCGAATCCCGGGAATTCGCTTCTTCTTGGCAATTATGCGAAGTTTCTGAAAGAGGTAATGAGTTGATTGAATTTTTTAAAATTGGGGATCCATGAAAGGAAAGATAGAAGTTTTCTGTGCTAAAAAATGGATGCGTTGCTGAATGTTTTGCAGGTTCGTCAGGATTTCGTGAAAGCGGAAGAGTACTGCGGGAGAGCAATCCTGGCTAATCCGAACGACGGCGATGTTCTTTCGATGTACGCGGATTTGATATGGCAGAGCCATAAGGACTCTTCTCGAGCTGAAAGTTACTTCGATCGAGCTGTCAAAGCTGCTCCTGAAGATTGGTAAGAAGGATTGAGCCTTTTCTTGATTCTGTTTGTTAACATTTGTGTTTTAATCTAATCCTAAAGATTGTTGGAATACTGTAGTAATGATGTTTCTGGTTTTTGTTTCGGTAATTGGCAGCTATGTTCTTGCTTCATATGCTCATTTCCTTTGGGATTCCGAAGAAGAAGAAGAGGAAGAAGAACAAAGGGGAGTGGATTTGATTCCAGAGATGAACAAATTGTCACCACCAAATTATTTCCATGGAATTCCACCTCTCCCTCCTCCAATAGCTGCTGCTTCTTGAAAAAGCTTGAATCTTTGGCCAGAAAATCTTGTAACATAGCGCTTCAGATTTCATAGCATCTAAAGTTCTAACCCGCCACCCTTTTGTTTATAGCCCCTTCGCCCTTTTTGTTAACACTTTTGGCTTTTCTTATTTCAATCACTGCTAGTACCTCTCTTGTAGAATCGTAATAAGAAATGGAATGAGTCTATTTTGGCTTACTCGGTCTCTCTTTTTCTCAATCTCTCTTTCTCTGTGTGTATATGTGAATATTCCATCGACAAGGGGACAAAAATTATCTCTTCCTGCTGCAAAAGGTAAAGGCCATCCCTTGCGGATGCCAAAAGGCATAGATCCTTTGTTTGCTCAAGCAGCCTCTTTTCCACGCAGCTTAATGAGGCTTTTCATCATCTTCCATGGAAGCTTAATGAAGGCTTTGTTCAGTGTTTGTCATACTGTATTGTATAGCGTATTAATGCTAGCAAATCATATTGATTAAATCAGGTACAGCAGATCAAATTGATACATTTTATCATTATTGCGATAATCTTGCTGCAATTTTTCTATGATTTTGCTGTTAAACCAGTACAATATGATTTCACACACATTGGTATTGATTGCCCATTCTTTTTTCTTATCTTGGAGTGCTTTTAAAGCAGGTTCTTATGGTCCATACATATACATGTGATTGCTGTTGACAAAACCTCCTAATGTTCAGTGTACCCATCCCACTTCCATAGGCTGCTGCTTCTTTTGGAATTTTCTTAGTACCCTTTTACCTTTGGCCTATACAGGGAAATAAGGTTCAATTATTTGATGTGTCCTTTGTTCAGGTAAGTTGATTAATATGGAGCTCCATGTTGCACCTCTGTTCTGGTGGCACATGGCTTTACCGTGAATGTCTCCGTATGGGAAGTTAGGTTCACTTTTTTTCACAGGATGGGCAAAACCCATTTGTTTGCTGGCTGATTAAGTTAAGTTGGATGATGAAAGATAATTAGTAGCTGTTGATATGCACCGTTAATGTAATGATCATCATAATTGCAGCTGATTAAGAAAGGATTACAAACAATGTGCTGCTGTCTAGTTGCTCTAACTTTTTTCCACAGATCAAAGCAGCAGTACATGTGAACTTCTTCTAGGAAATGGAGCTTTTTTCATATGATCCAGAACCATCCCAGAACAGATCCAGATACCAAACCAATCCCTAGAAACACAATCATCACAATTGCAGCCAGCTCAGCCTCGGAACCAGGAACCGATTTCGGGGCGAGGATCATTAGGACACTTGTCAGATACCCATTTGTCACGCCGAGCATGAATGTCAGGACCACAACTGGAACTTCTGATCTCAGCCACTTGGTTGGTCCATGGAGGCAAGCTGCAAACAAAGGATAGAACAGCAGCCTCAGGAAACAACCCCAGGTGGCCTTCTTGATGCTCTTCATAACATATATTGCTGTCACGGACTTGCCTATGAAATCCGACACATTGTATACTGTTATCAGCAGAACAGGATACCAGTCACTCAACAGGTTTGACTTGACATCTTCTGCTAGGAATCCTGGGAAGATCGAGAGAGTGACGAGGTAGATTGTCAGAACTGCAACAGCTGGCCACTGGATTTTCCTAGCCACGGACCAGAATCTCGGCTTTGAATCATCACCATCAGCGACAACATCAAGCTTGTTGTGGTTCTGCTGCATAACTGGTAACTTGTACAGCAAGTTACAGAAGAAGATGCAGCAGAGGAGGATCACAGTGCTGACAATGAAGTAGAAGTGTGCGCTCGTTCGGAGACCCTGAGGCGTCTGGGGGAGCATTGCCTTTGTGATGATCCTCAGGATGGACACAAGAACCCCTGTGGCAATGCAATGGTGATTTAAGGTATAAGCAACAGAACTTTAACATTTTCACTGTGATGTATAAAAGTGGTTTACCTGAAGAGGCTGTTCCAGCAAAAACTGCCTGCATGTATTGCTTTGGAAGCTTCCCAGCCGAACCAATCAAGCTACCAGCAATCAATCCATCTGCAAATCCACAAACCACAACCGATGCAACTGTCATGCTATAGGCTCCCGTGGGCATCGAGCCATTTCTGCTGCTCCAGTCCAGAGTTGGAGCAACCATCATGGAGAGAACAAAGAGGGAGAACCCTAAGTTCATCCTCAGCCTGCAACTCATCCTGCTGCTCCAGCCACCTTGGCTCATGATCACCACCAGAACCAGCACCGAAGAGCTCATGTAAGCCACGGAGAAGACCTTTTCGATGTGTTTGTTCGGGTATAGAGAGCCGAAGTAGTCGATGGCAGTGATGAATGCGTTCCATGGAAGCAAGTTGCCTGCACCAAGCAAGAAGTGGATTATGTAAGCAACTCTATAAGCATCTCTCCTCTCAGGTGGAATAAGAGCTACAATAGCTCCTTTCTCGATTTCCATTTTTTTCGCATCTCTCCAACCAACTCTTACCAGCATCCTATATAGTGTCGAATTGGTGCCCCTATCGAAAGGGGCAGTGATGGCTTTCTTGTTGTTGATTAGAAGCTGAGTTCTGAGTTGACAGCATAAACTGAAGTTCAAAACTTCCTCTCATCCCTCGTAAGTCTAGTTGAAGAAACACCACTGGTTCATAGCTATGGATTTTGATTGATGGGGAAGTTTATGGAAACGAAAGACTGGTGCTTTTGTAGGGACGGACAGCAGTGGATGGGCGGTGCTACACACCACTCAGAAAAGCAGCAGGGAGAATCTTTACCACCCCTTAAAATCGCTTGAACATGGTTTTTTTTTCTCTGTGTAATTATTGGACTGAGTCATTCTTAAACGTTGCCAGGATTAGATATTGTCAGAATCCAAAACAAATCGAAACCTGATGAGAGCCCCTGGAAATAAAGGCAGAGGCTTTCTGATATTTTTCTCTTCTGCAGATGTTGGAATCAGAAGGCAAAAGCAGTGCGGAAGGAACTTGGTTCTCTTCTCTGTGCTGTATTTTGTTTGACATGTAATGGTGTCACTCGGATGACCATTGTTTCTTCTTTACTCAGCTGGTAATTCTTCTTTCACTTTGCAGTAAATTGTTTGCTGTGACATATATATATACTGAACTACTGGCAACCCATCGTTGTGATGTGCCAGAAAGGGAGCTTGAGTTGAGATGGGCTTGATGGAATATTGGAATCATGGGAAAAGGTGATGCTTCTTTCTTGTCAACAACATGCTAGTGGTGGGTTAGTTATGGCGGACTTGTGACTGTTGAAGAGTCATGCTGTGTTTTACTGTTGAAGAAGGGAGTGGGATTGTTTTACTTTAGGGTTCTTTCAGAGGGTGAAGACTCAATCATGGGAGCCAGAAGACACGGAGATGTGGAGGGTGTGGGGATCGTCACTAGTGCTTCTCTGGCTTTTGCTCCATCTCCATCGTCATTAGTTCAAACTCGTTTTCCAACAGTGAACACATTCATTTCATTCTGCTACAGGGTGATGGGATGCTTCATGTCTTTGTAATTTCTGTTCATTTGGAATGGAATCTGTATTTGAATTAGCTCGATACATTTGAACAGGATTATATTTAGGGGATAATTTGTAAGTACATTACATAAAATAGAATTTAGATAAGTTGAGATTTCTTGTTCACAGATAGTTATCGATACTGATGATATCTAACTTTAATCTAAGTACATATGTCAGAGGTATATCTTCGAAGATAAACTGACTTTGATTAGAGATTCTTAACCCATAGCAATGGTTGATGGTTTGTAGGTTAAGGTACTTGATCCTACTTACCTCAACCCTTAAGAGGAAGGTGGAGAAGGGTAAAAGAATGAGGGCAAATTTGTATTTTCAGAAAATGTCTCATGACAATTGTTTTATGTCAAAGAATAAGATAATTGTGTAAAAGTTTCTTGTACAATTATCTTATTTTCTAAAATAAAATATTTAAGCCTAATTGACTCATTTTGAAAATGTTTCATCCAAACGACTACTAAGTGTTATCATCATACTAACACATTTATTAATGGTATTATAGTATTTTTCCCTTTTTTCTTCTCCCTTCCTCTTCCCCTTTTCCTCCCCCTTACATTCGAGTACTAAAAATATCGATAGAAAATTATATTTTAGTACCTGAAATTTTCCCCTTGACATTTTCGTACCTCAACTTTTTAAAATTTACAAACAAGTCCACTACTTATGGCATGCTTTATAAACTTGTGGCATGTTTTGTGGTTCTCGCATGCTTTGAGGTTGTGGCATGCTTTGATGAGGTTGTAGCATGCTTGGAGAAGGTTGTGACGTGCTTCGTGGTCCCCCTGCCTTCTTTCATCCCTTCCTCAATTTTTCATAATACCAAACGTGTCCCTCTTTCCTATTCTCATTCATTAATTGTGGTCAACTCATTTAAAAAGAAAAGTCATCCAAACGAAATGTACTGATTGACTGGAGTTAGTGTTAACATCATACTAAAAAAAAGTGTTAACACTCTAACTCCTCCCCGAGTTCCTCAGCTCCTACAATAAGTGCTAAGTGGAAACAAATTATATTTAGAGGTTATTTGTATTCATTAGGATGTCATTGGTATTATATTCTTCGCTGAGTTTGAGTTATGTATATTATTGTTGGCTTTCAGTTAACACTTTGGGGCTTGTCAGTAAGTTACTCACGTATGACTAACTAAATCTGGACATTTGGATTAAGTGGGTCCAGAAAATCCAGATCTAAGGGTTGTGAATTAAAAACATTTTATTTTTCCTAGTTTTTTAATAAACTCTTATTTTCTTCGTTCTAACTCGAAATTCAATTTTTTTTTGCACATATGGAACAAATTTGTTGTGCTCTACAAAATGAGATCAATTTTCAATATTTTCAGAGAATTAATGTGCTAAATCCTTGGTTCTGACTTCTGACCCCTGATCCGATTGGATTTGTGCCTCCAAGCTCATGGGCTTTTACAGACTGGAGCTAGCAGGATAATTTTTCTTCGGCCTAATACCTGCCTTAGTTGGGCCGGAGCCCAAAAATGCATTTAGTTTTCTTTCCCTCCTCCCACTTTGTCTCTTTCAGTTTCCGCTGACCTCAGCGAACACCACGTGAGCCGCGACAGCCACGTGTCATGTGACTCATCTCCCCTCCACAACACACCTCCCATAATAAAACGGCGCCGTCCTTCCCCTACTTTCCTCCACGAGCACGTCAGCCAATTTCCCAAATTACTTAACCAAACCCTAAATCGGCACAAAGTTTAATAAAATCACCTCACGGCTCCTTCCCTTCGCGTCTCCGGTCGCCGGCGGCCAGCCTGAAAGAGCCAAAATAAGACCCCCAAATTCCCGTCCCCCGCCCCCACAAAACCGAAAAAAAGGCAGTAGATATGTCGAAAACCCGCGCCCTCACTAAAAGCTAGCTAGCTTTCCGAATCGCCTTTCTCGAGTCTCAACTGCCCTCCTTTTTTCCTTCTTCCCCTCGACGGTGGCCCGATGGAGAGGAGCAGCGAGCCCCGCCAGCCGTATCCCGCCGGAGAAGAAGGCAGAGGCGCCGGCGGCAAGCTCAGGAAGCGTCCCGCGAGGAGAGCTGCTACGCCTTATGCTCGGCCGCAGCAGAGCTTGGCACAGCGCACGCGGCCGTGGCTCTCGAAGCTCGCTAACCTAATTTTGCCCAGCTACTTCTCTCAATCGGGCAATGCCCTCCCAGCTCCTCCTGCTGCTGAACGAGGAGTTGGAGATGAAGAAGAAGAAGAAGATGATCACGGTTGACTTTTTTAAAAATTTCATTTTATTTTGAATTGCTCACTTGTTCTTTCGTGATTCAATCGTCGGTTTAATTGATTAGGGTTGTATGATTGAATCGTGGCGTCATTGGTTGTATAACTAGCTAAAGCTTCGATCTTGGAGGTGTTTGCGAGTAATTTTTTTTAATTAATTGCTGTTTAACTCATCTTAACAGGTGAGTCTGGCAATCAGGTTGAAGAAAATGTCGGAAGGGATGAAATCAGTTTGTCATTCAATGTGAGGCCTTTGCCCTTTACTCTGTTTATGCTTTGTTCCTGTTTTCTTAGTAGTGAACCGAGGGGTTTTGAACGAACTCGGGTTTGGGGTGTTATTGCAGCATCTGGGTTCGGGATCAACTGAACTTGGTGGCACTAATGAAGTCACCAATGAATTAAATTCTCATCCAGAGATTGAAAGAGTTGAAGAACAGCATACAGTGAACACTTCTGATCTTGATGGGGTTTCTACAATCGAGCAGTTACTGATGAACAAAAAGTTTTCTAGGTGAAGCTCTTTTGTGCATTCATTCTCAGCTCTTTGAGATCTTCCTGTAGTCTGATATGGTGTAAAATTGTCTTGTGGTCTGGTTAGTGAAGTTTAACGTAAGGTCCCACTTGCTGTGCAGGGATGAAGTCAATAGGTTGATTGAGATAATTCACTCAAGGGCTGCTAATTCTCCCAACAAGGAGGAAGAGAAGCAGCATTCTGGTATGTTTGGGCGGGATGCTGGACCTTCGGCTTTCCTTGAAGATTCACAAAGGCGCACGGAAACTGAGAAGAAGTACACGAGTTCAATTGCACAATGCATTTTCCAGCCTGCAGCTTGGGCTGAAACTTCAAGAAAGTCTACTGAACTAGAGCATGAAGATATGAACAGAAC